TATATATATATATACACACACACACACACACACATACACACACACACACACATACATATACAATGGAATATTACTCAGCCATAAAAAAGAACGAAATAATGCCATTTGCAGCAAAATGGATGGACCTAGAGGGTATCATACTAAGTGAAATAAGTCAGACAGAGAAAGGCAAATACCATATGATGTCACTTATATGTGGAATCTAAAAAGAAGATACAAATGAACTTATTTACAAAAGAGAAACAGACTCAGAGACATAGAAAACAAACTTATGGTTGCCAAAGGGGAAGGGGTGGGGGAGGCATAAATTAGGAGTTTGGGATTAACAGATATACATTACTGTGTGTAAAATAGATAAACAACAAGGACCTACTGTATAGCACAGGGAACTATATTCAATATCTTGTAATGACCTTTAATGGAAAAGAATCTGAAAAAGAATATATATCCATATATATGTATATGTGTGTGTGTATAGCCGAATCACTTTGCTGTACACCTGAAACAAACACAACATTGTAAATCAACTATACTTCCATTTAAAAAGATGTTATATAAGTGGAGTCATTGTAGTATGTAACCTTTGAGGATTGGCTTTTTTCACTCAGCATCATTTCCTGGCAATTCATCCAAGTTATTGTACGTACTAGCTGTTCATTCCTTTTCATTGCTGAGTGGTGTTCCATGTTATGGATATACCTGTTGAAGGACATCTGGGTTGTTTCCAGTCTTTGGCTATTAGGCATGCAGCTACTCAGAACATTCTTGTACGTGTTTTTGGTGAACGTAAGTTTTCACTTCTGGGGTAAATACCCAGGAGTGCAATTGCTGGGTCATATGGTACATACATACTTAGTTTCATAAGAAACTGCTGAAGCATTTCCAGAGTGATTGTACTGTTTTACATTCCTATCAGGAATATATGTGTGATCCAGTTTCTTCACATCCTAGCTGGCATGTGGTTTATTACATTTTAAATTTTAGACATTTTGATAGGTGTATAGTGCTATCTCACTGTGGTTTTAATTTGCATGTCCCTGTGCCTAGTGAAATTGAACCTTTTTACATGTGCCTGTTTTCCTTCTGTGTAACCTCTTCAGTGAAATAACTGTGTCTTTTGCCCATTTTCTAACTGGATTGTTTCTTTTCTCACTGTTGAGTTTTGAGAGTTTCTAAAAATATATTCCAGGTACTAGTTTTTGTCAGATATGTGTTTGTAAATATTTTCTCCCAGTCTAGCTTTTCTTTTCTACCTCTTCACATGGGCTTTCACAGTGGAAAAATTCTGAGTTTTGATGAAATCCAGTTTATTAATTTTTTTCTTTTATGGATTGCGTTTTTTGTTGTTGAGCTACCTTTTAGTTTCGACCCGTGTAAATATATTCATTTTTCAGATTTTTTAATGAAAAAGACTAATCAAGCCATAAACAGTCACATTTAAATGCCCGCTACGTAACCGTTTCAAGTCACCTGGCGCACAGGCGGCGCCCCAGGGTGGCAGAAGGTTCCCGGTGGCTGGGCCCACCTGTAACCCCCACCTCCCTGTCATTCGCTCCCTCAGATCAACATGTACCTGATGTCACGCCTCCTGTTTGCCCTGTGCCGCCTGGGCGTGGGGAAGGGCTACATTCCTGAGCCCAGGTGGGACCCGTTCCCGTTGTTCACCGGGCTACTGTGGGGGCTGGTGCTGTGGCTCTTCGAGTACCACCGGCCCACGCTGCAGCCCTCTCTGCAGTCCTCCATGACCTACCTGTACGAGGACAGCAACGTGTGGCACGACCTCTCGGACTTCCTCATCTACAGCAAGAGGCGCCCCTCCGAGTAACTTGGCCCCAAGGTGCTCATGGAGGCTCCCGCACCCAAGTCACCATCAGTGGGCTCAGCTCGAGATTGGCTCCATCAGCGAATCATCCCAGGGGATCTGGCCTTTTCAAGACCCAGGGTCTCAGACTCTAAATTATATTAGCCCGGGGTTCCATCTGCCGAAGCGAAAGCACTGATTTTCAGACCCCATTAGGTACTCTTTTTTTTTTTTTTTTTTGCGATATGTGGGCCCCTCACTGTCGTGGCCTCTCCCGTTGCCGGACGCGCAAGCCCAGCGCCCACGGCCCACGGGCCCAGCCGCTCCGCGGCACGCGGGATCCTCCCGGACCGGGGCACGAACCCGCATCCCCCGCATCGGCAGGCGGACTCTCAACCACTGCGCCACCAGGGAGGCCCCCATTAGGTACTCTTGAATGGTGGAACGAGCCGCCAGATCAGGCTGAGGAGCCTTGGGCGCGGTGACAGCTGTGCTGCTGACTCTATGAGACCAGGGAAAGTCACACCCCACCCTGGGCCTCAGGGGTCAACGCACTCAGAGGAGGGCACTGAAGTCTCTTTTCTGGTGGGTATGTTTTCCGACCGTTCTTCTGGAACAGAGGGCTCCTGGCTGGTGGGCAGTGGGTTGCAAATGCGTTTTTAGAAAATATTCAGTTCCTTGTCTTAGGTGTTCTAGTGGAGAAGCTCTAGCATTTCCACTGTCCAATAGAAACACGATGTGAGTCATATACGTGATTGAAATTTTTTTGGTAGCCACATTCCAGTGGTTAGGACTCCGAGCTTTCACTGCCGAGGGCACGGGTTCAATCCCTGGTTGGGGAACTAAGATCCCACAAGTCGTGGGGTGTGGCCAAAAAAAAGGTGGGGGGGCAAGAAGCAGGTGAGATTAACCTTAATCATATCTTTTAACCCAGTATTTCTAAAATATTATCATTTTAACATGTAATAAATGTAAAAGTTATGAGATATTTTATTCTTTTTCTTGTAGTAAGTCATCAAAATCAGGTGTGTGTTTTACACTTACAGCATTTCTCAATTTCAACCAGCCATATTTCAAGTGCTTATTAGTAGCCACATGTGGCTAGTGGCTACTGTTTTGGATAGCACAGATATAGTATGCTCTACCCTCGCAGAAAATTCTAGTGGACAGTGTAGATATAGAGCTAGAAGACATGGGTTTGAGTCCCCGCTCCACCACTGTGTAACCTTGGGGAAGGTTCTTCTCAGAGGCTCAGTTTCTAGTAAAGTGAGGATAATCCTAGTAATACCTGATGTCCACATTGGACTTGTGTAACTACAGCGGCTGCTTCTACTAATTACATCCATGTAGTGAGCTCTTACTTCCTCTTGGGTGCTTTGCACTAATTATTTTTAACCCATTCAAAGACCTTGCAGGTATGTATTTGGATCTCCATTTCACAGATGTGGAAACTGAGGATCAGAGAAGAGAAGTAACTTGCCCAAGGTAATACAACTAATAGTATGACAGCCAAACCAGGGTTTGAACCCAGATCTATGTGATTTCAGAGCTCGTGTGTTTTTCAGTGCCTTACTTTAAATTTAGAAACCTAAACTGTGCTATGCAAATGTTAGCTAGTTATAGGGGTGCAAACTCAAATGCCTATCGGGGCCTGGCAAGTGGTATAAATGATAATGTTCTGGGTGCTATGCAGTTGGGAGTGACAGGGCTGTGGGGAACTGGAGACTCATGTGCCAGACTGATTTTTGAAAACCAGCAAGCTGGACAGATCAAACAGGTCTCCAGGAGATTTGGTCCATGGACCACCAATTTGAATAGGCATACTTCAATCTCATTTTATATTTTGAAAATTACGGACTTCCCTGTGTCCCTGGTGGCACAGTGGTTAAGAATCCGCCTGCCAATGCAGGGGACACGGGTTCGAGCCCTGGTCCGGGAAGATCCCACATGCAGCAGAGCAGCTGAGCCCGTGTGCCACAACTACTGAGCCTGTGCTCTAGAACCCATGAGCCACAGCTACCGAGACCGGGCGCCACAACTACTGAAGCCCACATGCCTAGAGCTCATGCTCCACAACAAGAGAAGCCACCGCCATGAGAAGCCCACGCACCGCAACTAGAGAAAGTCCTTGTGCAGCAATGAAGACCCAACACAGCCAAAAATTAATTAATTAATTTTCAAAAAAGAAAATTACTAGTAGAAATATCCACATGAGTCACTGACCTTATTAAAACGCAGATTCTGATTCAGTGGGATCGGGGTGGGGCCTGAGATTTCTGTATTTCTCACAGGCCCCTGGATGATTGCTGCTGCTGCTGTTCTGAGCTACACCTTGAGTAACAAGGTGGTAGGGAATGATATGGGGCCAACAAGTAGCCCATGTGACAAAGGAAGAAACTAAGTCACAGAGCTGTTAGGTCATCGAGGTGGGATTTGGTCTGATTCTAACTGCGTGTTCTCAGGCACAGTGTTGTACTGCAGGCCTGGAGGAGGGCATCTTGACGTTTCCCTAGTTCACTCTGTGGAGGCTGAATGAGATCCCAAGGTTATGGGGAGGGGAAAGGGTGGCCGTCAGCAAGTGGGCTTTGTCACAGATGCTGCAGTGCCCCACCCATATCCTGTCTAACTTACCACTTCAGTGCACACCAGCCACCCAACTGCCACCCTGAGTCTTTCTGCCTGAGGGCCCCTTACTTGCTCTTGGCACCAGCTTTGCCAGCCTGCAGCAGACCTGCAGTGCTAGAGGATTAACACATCCTGGGAGCAGCCCTCAATCAGTGACTGATGACTACCCCCACTCCTGCACCCCTCACCCAGTTGTCACTGGGTGGGATAACTCTGAGGTGCCTGCTCCACACTGGCTCCCAGAATACCCCAGCAAGACTGAGCTCTGGCTGCCCACAGTGGTCACTTGTGTGATGACACCTCCTCCTTGTCTCCCTTCCTCATGCCCCTACCAGTGCTTTGAACCACTTGCCACAGAAACCACTTGCACTCAAATCCTTGTCTTGGGGTCTGCGATTAGGGGAACCCAAACTAAAACTGGCCTCTGGTGCAGCGAGTTGAGAGGCAGCACAAGTGGTGGTTAAGGACATAAGCTTTGGAGCCAAAGTGTCTGGGCTCAGTTCCAGCCTCGCTGGTCCCTTGCAAGTGACTTAACCATTCTGGGCCTCCATTTTGTCATCTGTAAAATAGGCATTCTAATAGCGCACACCTCATAGGGTGGTCTGGAGGATTAAATGATGTGATAGCATATGAAGTAAGCACTTGATAAAGGTTTGCTTTTATTTCCAACATATCAAAGAGATGTAAAAGAAAGCATGGCCCTGAGGACGGCAGACACCCTGCTTTTTTAGCCTGTTCTACCCCACCCTCAGCTGAAGGTAAAAGCCTTGGCTGCCTGCCCTCCTGACATCCCCCCACTGCCGCTGGGGGGTGGCCAGCTCCACTACCCACTGTCGCTGCTCTGTAAGAATAGGTTCCCCTCACAGATGGCATCTCTCTGGATCCTGCCAAAGCATCTGGTGCCTCCAACTGCTCACTCCAGGGGGAAGGCGGTGTGGTCCTTGTGCAGGCGCAGAGCCCTGGCTCCTAGGAGGAGTCCCCACTCAGCTCCCTCCTAGCCAAGCCTCCATTTCTGCAAGACCTGGAAAACGGGGATTGCCGGAGAGCTTTTGGCACACAGTAGGTGCTCCATAAATGCTAGCTCGTGAAACAGCAGTGTTTTAACGTGTATTTATTAAGCACCTCCTACATTCCTATGAGGTCTCTTGACAATGCAAAGCTAGAAACAAAATTTTTTATTCAGTAATGCATACACATAGTGCAAAACTTAAGTGGTACAAAAAGTGTGTAACAGGGAAGAATCAAGTTCCCCCTGCACCCCAGCTCCACCTACCTGCCTCCACCCCAGCCAGGGGTGCCACCTATCAGCACTTTCTATTACAGCCTTCCTGAGATTCTCTGCACGACCACCCATCTCTGTCTTCTAAGAAACTTGTACATTGCACTGTCATCTCAAGAACTCTTTGACATTTCCTCCTTGTTCTCTGCATGTTTGGTTTCTTTTTGATCAATAATCTGACATGAAATTGAGTCCTGGACTTCCCTGGTGGTCCAGTGGTTAGGACTCTGTGCTTTCACTGCCAAGGGCATGGGTTCAATCCCTGGTCAGGGAACTAAGATCCTGCAAGCCACGTGGCCAAAAAAAAAAACCTCAATGTTAGTATCATTAAAAAAAAAGTGAGTCCTTTCTTTGAGCCAATTCCCGCCCCCCACAGCTCCACCCTGCAGTCCCCAAATATCTTGGGCAGGTCATCATGAACCACCCTAGGTGTCCCGAGCCTTGTTGTAGGTGACGCCCAACACTCAGGTCCACAGAACTCCAAGTGAAAGGGGAAGCACAAAATCGAAGTGAACTTGGGGCCCTTCTGCTGCTCCACTCCCAAATCAGAGGTCATTCAGGGAACCCATATGAGAGTGATGATTCACAGGCCGAGGCGCCAAGAAGCCGCCTCCTGTGATGGTCGGGTCTCCTGCTTCCACTTCGCAGGCTCCAGAAAGGATCCTGGAGATGGCGTTTCTGTCCACGTTCGCTTCTCCCACTCCCGTGAGTGTGTTTTGTGTTTATGAGAATCAGGCTTTAAACCTGACACCCTCCTAAACCAGTGCCCCACCTCCTGGAGCCAACAGTCTGTGACTGCAGATGGGTTGCTTTCTGTGACAAGTTAGAGGGCATTTATAAAAAGAAATGTTACGTTTTTTCCTCCCCTTGTTCCAGATTCATAGGGATGGGGGGTGTCTTCTTTCAGCCTTGAAAAGCATTTTGGGTGAGAGGGTGTTAATTTTAACCAGAGGCCTCCTACAGGACTCACTCTTGGGAGCTGGAGGCCGCAGGGGTCCAGCTAGAGGACAGAGGGAAAGCTGGGCTGTCTTCTGACTGCTGCTTTTAGAGAGGGCTCCCTGCTTTCTGTTACAGGCCTGTGTGCTCATGATTTCATAAATAAGACGGGACCAGGCAGCAC